AAAGAAAGAAAGAAAGAAAGAAAGAAAGAAAGAAAGAAAGAAAGAAAACAGGCTGTGTGTGGTTATAATTTCCTATCCCTGAATTAGGGGTGCATTGCAGTTACTGTTCTCTGGATCAGCAGAGACTGGCCAACACTTTGAGAGTATGCGATTAAAACACTAAAAACAAAATTTGTGCAAACTGAGGCTAGGAACATCAAGTTTCTCATGAGATAAGAATCTAAAGGACTCATTATCAAAACATTAAAAATGAAAGGACATTTTCCTGCAATGTTCTCATGTGTCTGATTTTTATGGTGCAATTATCTGAACATTTCCTAAACTAAGTACTGTATATTAAGATGCAACAAACAGGAGAAAACACCCTGCATGCAGTAATAGGAAAGAAATTGTACCATCCTATTGTACAAAGCAACACTGTTTAGAGAAAATGGTATGTTTTGAGATACTTTTTCTTTCTTTCTTTCTTTCTTTCTTTCTTTCTTTCTTTCTTTCTTTTTCTTGTTACTTTCCTTTTTTCTTTCTTTTTTTCTGTATCTATCTATCTATCTATCTATCTATCTATCTATCTATCTACCTACCTACCTACCTATCATCTACTACTGAAGTTCTATATTAGAAAAATATTAGAGAGATAAAATTGTAGATAAAAGAAATCTATGCAAAATCTATGCAAAAGTAATAAAATTGAAATATGGGAGTAGGGAGGAAGTGAAAAACAAGAGAAGTTAAAATCTGGCCTTGGAGTAGAGGCCTGCATCCCAAAATCATAGAACTGCACATAGACCAAAAACTGCACTTAATTTTAGTTTAATGAGTACAATTGTTTTTTAATCTAATACAATTAAACCCTGTGCATTTCAGAATCCTAGTCTTTGTTTATTCCCAGGCTTTTCCACTGAAAGATTATAATTCAGTAAAATCTGCATCCTTGTATTCTGGGTTCACATGGAATTTCCATGGATAATGTCCTTCTGCTCTAGGATCTAACTCAATTGCTTGCTGCAATTGCTATGCCGCAGCATGGAGAATTATACTTGCATTGCAATACAACAGATATATTCATCGGATTCATCTTTAAATAACTTTGAAATTTCAGGACTTAGGCCTTAATATTTACAGAGATGCTCAGTCATCCAGGTCATGGCTGTCCCAAAAGTGCTTTTTCAAAAGGCAACTAGACTTTCTTGGTTTTCCTTGAAGAAATTTTACTTCTTATCCAAGAAGCTTCTTCAGTTCTGACTGATTGATTGATGAGTCAGAACTGAAAAAGCTTCTTGGACGACAAGCAAAACATCTTCAAGGAAAACCAAAAAAGTCCAATTGCCTCTTGAAAAAAAAGCACTTTTGGGACTTAGGCCTTAGATATTTTGCTGGCAG